CACGCATAAAGAGATCGACAGCTGTGAGACTTGAACTCACGCGGGTTACCCCAATAGATTTCGAGTCTATCGCCTTAACCGCTCGGCCAAGCTGTTTTATATGTGTGATACGGCGTTTCCAATATAGTTTCACGATCTTTGGTTCTTTTGGTATGCATCGTGGCATACAGCGCGGCCTTTAACCCTAGTTCGCTCAAGCGTACGACAAATAAAGGCCCAGTAGTTTGTTGCGCTCTCGTAGAATTGAATTTCATATCCCAAGTCATTTTTTTGTCTTACACAGACATCACTACAATTTGTGTGAATTGGCTGCATCGCTTTGGGGCCTATATGAGAATAGTCCCTGGCTCTGGCCCACCAAAATATGAGCATTAGATAGCGAATATTGCTGTGCTCTTTTACGACGAAGCTGTCGCTCCAGCTCGCAAATATGCGCTGAGGTGTACAATGCAGCCTTTAATATATCATGATTGCATTAGAGAAGATAAGTGAAACCGACTGTGTACGTGCGTGTGTGTGTGTGTGTGAAAGAGAGAGAGACGCTTTGAAATCGTTAAATGTCTGAGCAACTGTGTTTGCAAACACACCATGACGGTTTAACGAATAAAAAAAACCATATTTGCCAATATATCTTTGAAATATTAAAAATATTATTGCAATGCATAAATTTAAAAGGCGGGCAATAGAGTTATATGTCAGTATAATCCTATTATCTCCAAAATTCTTGTACAGGATCCGATTAGGATTATCATAACGGTCTTTTCTGGTCAACACAATGGGTATATTCGATCTTGAACGAGAAATATACTAAATGTAGGGTAGTATTGGTCCACAGAACGAATCCTGGATTCATTCATGACGTATATTCATGACTGACTGTTGAAACTGATGTTGCTAAGCTCATCACACCTGTCAACAAAAATCAGAATTGAACGTACAGCACAAAACAATGAGCAATAGGTAAACACGTATGTATTGTGCTTTGCACACGTTCTGTCTAAATGATGTCATAACTCGTTGTTTTTAGCAAATCTTAAAAAATAATCCAACATTTATTTACCAACCGTTATCATTGAATTAAACGTTGGATTACCATTTATTCGAAGAGTTAATATTGTTTTATGAGTGTTTTCGTTTAATGGCTGTAGTAAAAGCGCCAAACCAACGCCGCACACTCTAAGTTTTTTTTAAGCTCGTGCAACTGCATTCCAGAAGACGATAATTTCTATCGATATGCGTTGGAGATCTATTGTGCTGGCCTACATCTACGACATTAACCAAAGTGTTGTTGCGTCCGTTATGGGGTCTCGACGTGGTCTATTTCTCGTTGAGGTTTACTGTTTCGTCGTAGAGGTAATGCGATACCGAACACGCGAATAAACACACACACACACACACACACACGTAGCAAATTAGATAAAACACCCCGCTTCGAATGATAATAGACATTAGTTACTTACCGATTGGCCCGTGAAGGAGCAGGATAGTGTGCAGACAAGTACATGTTCAGGTCAACAAGCTGGGAACGAAGTAGCCGGGCTTTGCCTTGTAGCTGTGGTTTGCGTTGTAGCTGCAAAATTGCTTTGTCATCGGGTATGATTAACATATTTTAACATTGGGTTATGTTCTAGCTTTTGATCTACGAAATAGATTTGTCGTTGTTTTAGAGGCGCTATTCATAACCCAAAGTTGATGCAAAGTACAATAACCTTCCTAGGCATTTCTATAGATACCTCCGTTGGTCTACGCTTTAAGGACAAATGTAAGATTCGTCGTGCATTCAAAGAAAGCTACTCAGACTTTCATGAGTGTACGAGTCAAAGGAACACATCCTTTTGAAAACGGTATATAACACGCTTCCATAAACTTATCAAACCAACGTCACACAACTTCACGAAATCATCACAGCGGTTAGCCACGTTTTCATGAACGTATCGAATCAAGACCGCGCATTTCCGTAAAATCATCGAAATGGAATGCCACATTATCATGAACAAGGTCAAGCATTTTCGCGAAATCGTCGAAACGATATCCTGCATTTTCATGAACGTATCGAGTCAAGGTAGCACATTTTCTTGGGAATCTCGAAGTGTTATTGATATTGCCTCTGAAGACGGACTCAAGTGTATCATAACGAAAGCGTACATCGGCATCCGTCAGTTTGCTACGATGCTATGCAAGAGTACGATGTATGTACACGAGTAAATGTTCGAACTTAGAAAATCATAGGATACTGTAGTTTTTACGCCAGTCTTCATCTTGTGTTGGGGGGAGGTCATCATCGTCTGCATCTCAATTTCTTGGGGTGGGAGCATTGTCTTCATCAAGGCCAGGCTGTGTCTCGACGTAAGCAGACACCGTGGAATCTCTGATTGGTGCTATTAATCGTCCAGTAAATATGCACAGTAGTAGAACAACTCGAACCGGCGCAAGACAAGAGAGCTGTCAGCCATGTCGTGTGTTTTTCCACGCGCCACGTGGCGCAGAAACACCCAGCAGATGAATACGTCACAGCTAAACTGGTCGAACTTGATGGGGTTGTTCTGCGGAACCCACATCAAAGTTTCTTAGACCATTTTGTTTTAGATAGGTTGCTGTCACCTTGCGGCTCTCGTATACGGCTTTTGGTTGAGGAGGTCGTAGTAATAGATTCATGACTAACACCTTCATCACGATACAGCACCAGTGCGCATTGTGGAAGCTGAGCGGCAATAACAACGTTTGCATATCCACCTCGGTCGTTTGTAAAGTAATTCGGTCGACTAGATTGCTTGTGTTCAGTCTATCCTTGTGATTTCTCGCGTGTGAAGACTTTGAGTCCACTGACTAAACACCCCCGGCAAATCGACACTATGAATAGCCAGTAATGAGTCTATCGTACAAATCTCGAATGGATGCATTTAATAGCCAATCGGCGGTATTGCTCTGTACAACATAGAATACGCATAATATGGACCTTCGTTAAGCCCTAGTATATGCGTGCATGGGTACGTGTTGATTACTTGGTCACTGGTCGAGTTGCCTTTCCGACTCTGCTTTTGATTTGTCGAACGTTTCTCCACTGATGGAGGATAAAGCTTAGCGTTTCATAAAAATATTTCGCATCAAATATATCTGTTAACTCTGAAGCAATCAAATGTGTAACCCTCGCCACTTCTTTGTAGCGATTATAATGGGTGCATGGTTTGGATATGACAGTGGTGAACGCGTCCCCATCGAAGACCTGGTACGCCAACTGTTCCACAGGTTGCAGCTTAGTCACTGAGCTGGTCCATCTACATACTATAGGGATAGTGTTGATAGGACTATGATAGCATTACACACAAATTCCACATTTGCCTCACCTGTTATTGATACAATGCCATAGAATTATTTGCCCAGGGAACCGTGAGTGCCGACTGTACACAATTGCATGACAGCAGAGAAGACGCATGGAGTTAGCGAAATCACAGCCGCGTTTCCGGCTTTTAGTGTTGAAGCGGTGGGTCCTGGATACTCCATGTATAATGACTTCATCGATGCTAGCCTCGTAGATGTAGCTCTCCGCCTTAGATAATGCGGCTGCATATTGAAGCTCAATTCGCTCAACAACATAGCGAGCAGTAAACCTCAGGACGCTCGCCATCTCTTCATCGTAGTTGGTGTTTACAAATCGCCCTATCTGAGACAAGCAATACTAGTACTCCTTCTCTGCACTACGATCACTTGCAACAAAGGGCTTCCACGCATTCAACCATAATCACGATATTGTTAATTACATCTCTTAGCTGCCAAAACCCTATCAATTACGTCGTTTAGCTTCCCGTAAAAACGTTAAAGGCAATTATTAGTGTGATTCTGGAAATGTGGTAACTTGGCCGCACTTACATTTCACACATATTGTGGCACGAACCCCGGTTCCGTGAAAAGTATTCACAAAACTCGCGAATCCAATACTTTCACAATTGAAGGGTGGTGCCGACTTACCAGTGGCTTACTTCTCTAAGAAGCTAAGAAGCTGGGACCGACTGAGAAGAGATGGTCTGCCGTTGAGCAGGAGCTGCTAGCGATCAAGTTGTGTTTGGAAATCTGGAGAGTGTATTTGGTCGGCGCTCCGTTTCGGTTGTTCACGGACAATATCGCTTGCCGCTAAATCTTAGCCCTATCGCGATATCTGGATTGTTGCCGAAGTAGCAAATTTATTAATGAGCAAAATGAAAGCAGGACATCTGTTCCTACATGTACGGAACTAGGAATTCCTAGTGCACTCTGAGACTTGTGCCGCGCCATCCTAGCAATGCATAAACTGCCCCGTAATTGACACCACTGCATAAAAACCTTCATAATTGTCATTATCGCATAATCCTTGATGAAGTGAGTCGGTAGCTGTTGTTGCACGAAGCTGCTAGTCTTTAACTCGATCCGGCGACACTGCCCCCTAAAGCCAGGAGACTTCGTACTCACTGTTGGCTGACGGCGTCGACAAAGTCCCCATTGCCCACCGTTTGTGCGCATCTCCGCACCTTGTCAGGCACCTGAGCTATTAACTCTGTCAACGACTCCCACGATGCCTCGACCTCCTGTAGCCCCGTCCACTTCACCAGCAGCTCCCATCTCGAGAGAGCCTGATTGTAGCGAAAGTCGCTGAACCCGTCCACTCCAAGCAGCACCCCCTGGTTCGAGACGAACTCGCGGGTCCCCTCCGTGATGTTCAGGAAGGAGTCGGCGTAGAAGCGGAGTCACGAGCCATGGACCTCGTACATAGCGCCGGATAGTAAGTGACGGATCACTAAAGGAATACGGACGAGCCTCGGTCACAGCGAAGGGGCCTACCCACTGTGCCAGCAGCTTATCCTTGGAGAAGCGTTGGTCCACTCTCGACCACAGTACGTAGTTGCCAATCTCGAAGTTGGCTGTAGATCCCTTCGTCGCCGCCATGTCGTAGAGGCGCTTCCTTTTTTCAGGTCGACTACTTCGCGGTGCATTGCTGACAGTGACGCTCTCAGTTTCTCCATGTAGTCTGCCACGCACTCGAGGTCAATCTCCGTGAGCAAATCGTTGGCTTCAGATCTGCTAATCACATCTAGCGACGAAGACGGTGGCAGGACCAGGAAGAGTCCCATCGGACATTTATTGGCAAGCGAGCGGACTGGAGTCTGGTTCAAATTTGACTGAACCACTGGGAGTAGGTAGGGCCACTCATGATGATCCAAGTGATACTCCATTAGTATCACTCGATGCACTTGTAGAATGTCTCGATTCAATCGCTCCACAGTACCGTTTAACCACGGCGCGTAGACCAGGGAGAATCACTGCTTGATCTTCAAACGACCACAAAGGTATTTCATCGTCTCATTGCGAAGTGAGACCCTTGGTCAGACATGAGCTTGTCGGGGCTTCCGAAGCGCTTTTACCACGAAAGAAGAGCGTCGGCAGCGGTAATCGCATCCGCATTGCTGCATGCAAACAACTCACAGTAGTGAGTCAGCGAGTCCTTGAGCACCAGCACGTACCGGCTTCCTCCAAATCCGTCACACGAGAGACAGGAAGTCCCAGTGCAGCATCTCATTCCTCTTTGTTGCCGTGTAAGTGGGGTCATACACCCGCGTGACAACTCGAGGACCTTTGACATGCTTGCAAGGCAAACATTCTCCGACAAACCGCTGGACTTCTTGGTTCAGTTTCGTAATGTAGAAGCGATCATTCAACAAAGTAAAAACGGCATGCCCGCTGCGGTGGCCCTACGATTCACAGTGGACAACCACCATCAGCCATCACAGCAGCTCACGAGCAGAAGAGGGCACCCATATCTTGTTGGCCACCCTGATGACCCCGTCGACCGTATTGTGTCTCTCCCCGAGGTCTCTGAGTGCTGCCCGAGCACTATTCTGCGCATTCATAATGTCTCTCAGACCAGGAAAAATAAAATCTTCGTCCGAGAGTGGGCGGAGTACTGACGGAACGGCTTGACCTCTGGTCCTCACTGCTGCAACACGCACCTCAGGCACTTTCCACCGTGATATTATGTCTGCCCAGACATTAACCTCACCAGCCACGAGCTCGATAGTGAATCGTAAGCCACAGAGACGCATCACCCACCGCTGTAGGCGGTCGCGCACGTGCTTCTTCAACTCTACTTGCGGAGAAAATATGTAGATGAGGTTGGCGTGGTCGCAGAACAGTTTGAATCTGCGTTCACGCTGCAATAGGTACTCCGGCTCAGCGCACGCCTTGACAATCGGAAACGCTTCTTTTTCCGCGATCGCCCAATTCACTTGAGTGTTCTTAAAGGTGCCTCCTTTGCATAGGCCATCCGATACTGATGTTTTTCAACAGCAAGTGAAGGGTCCAATGTCTCCACCTCGGTGATGATAATACTCCAATCTGTGAGTGACGCGTCGGTCATGACGCAGAGATCAGAGACCGGGCTTGGGAAGGATAAAGGCACTGAAGCCTTGATCAGCTCCTTCACTGCATGGTAGCTCTCCTTTTCAGCCTCCGTCCACGATATGGGTACGTTGAGAGCGTTCTTGTTGCGCCTACCAATTCGCTTTCTCTCTGCACCCAGCATCTCCTGCAACTCGCGAATAGTCGGGCAGCGACTCGTGCAGCCAGTTGCTAGCACAGACAAAGTACTGCAACTCGGCCACCGTTAACGGTGGGAGCGCTGTCAGCGCGTCCACACGCTCTGGGTCATGTCGAATTCCGTTGCCAGAGATACCACAAGGCTTCCAACTGAAATAGAGAGCTCTTAGCCGCGTGCAGTTTCAAACGTCTGTCCCTCGAGATGATAAAAAACTCCTTCAGCGCTTGCAGAAACTCGTCCATAGTTCGTCCAAAGATAATCACGTCTACCCAGACCAAAGCGTTGCGCTGCAATATAGGAGCAAGTACACCCTGCATCTGCATCTGAAAATGGATAGCTGAGTCAACAGCCCCTTATGGCACACGGGTTGGTGTGTAGACTGCATCCTCAGTCATGAATGACATGAGCTCCTGGCTGTCCAGATCCAAGGGAAATTGCCAAAACCCTTTTATCATATCAAACTTAGCGAAGCATACAGCACCTTTGACGGCAGACGAAGCCACCGCAAGGTTGGGCATCGCCCCAGCAATCGGCACTATTAGCTTGTTGACAGGCCTGTAGTCAATAGTGATGCGAAATTTCGTTGTCGAGCCAGGTTTACGCACCGGCACTGCCGTGCATGCCCATTTTGTAGCGTTATTCTTCCGAATGAACCCACGCTTCTCTAGCTCCGCAGTGTATTCTCGTAGAAATATACTTTGCAGTGGTGCATACTTCCTAGGTTTGCATCGAAAAGGAGAAGCTCCCTGCACCAGCGGACCTTCAAGGGCTCTACCAGCGCCGGAGAGTCATCGACAAGGCTCCCGCGAAAGACATCGGCATACTCTCGTGCTAACAGTCGCATTGGCTCCTCGTACTTAGTATCTAGACCCCTCTCGATGACCGCATCCACTAGACGGTCAAGGACAGCGCCGTTCTTGCTAGCATCAATCGACAGTGCGTCCTCCACCGGAAATTCGTCTTTTTTCCTCGTCCAGCAAATGTGTGCCCGCCAGCTGTTCGATCATTCACTCGACATCAATACCGAGCGATTTCATCGCATCGTTCCCCAGTAGCAGTTCCTCGACGTCACCTTCCAACACGAGACACTGAACCTCCTTCATGTGGACGGGTTATGCGGCCGTGACGAGTTCTAACGCCACAACGACTTCCTCCACGCAGTTGACATGCCTTCCATCCGCTAGATACACAGGTATCGGACGCCCTAGTACCTCGACGCCGAGGTCCACGTTGAGTTCTTGTAGCGAAGTGACGACCACTCGAGGAATCATCGTACGATCTGCGCCACTGTCTGGAATATAGGGCATCTCCAGCACACTGTCCATTCGCACCATATTGGCACAAACAGCGGATGACACAGTCTTTGAGCGCACAGAATCGTTCCGATCCAACTTAGCCTCTCTCAGCTTGGGCAAAGCTTCTGCTTTCTGTCCCGCGGTCGCCGTCGGACACTTGTCCAGCCAGTGGGCGCCCCTACATACCAGACAGCCGTCTCGCGGAGGAGCCCGCGCTCTCTTCTCAGAAGGAGCCGTCGTCTTCACTGGCTTTGAGGCTCGCTTGTTTTGTTGCTGCTGCGGCTGCCCACGCGTTTGAGGAGCCACACGCTCCACACTTTGTGCGTGGAACTGCTGTTGCACCCAGGCATGTTCCAGTATCAAATCAAAGAGGGCTGCATCATCCGTTCTACAGTCTCGCCTCTCATACTTGTTGAGTCGCTTGATCTGCTCCTTCAGCATGGCATGCTGAATGTTCTCCACGAGAATAGCACGCCGGGCCTTCATGCGGTCCTTGCAGCCCGGACTAGCAGCATCTCCGCCATCAATAAGCGCTTGCAGACCATTATCCTCCACAATCTTCGTAAAGGACTGGAAATACTGGGACACATGCGCGTCACAGTCGTCTACTTGCATGTCCATCTTCAAGGACTTACGGAAGAGCGTAGCAAGGTCTGGAATGAACGCGTTCTTGAGAGTCCTGCAGCGCTTCTGTTCCTGTGCCAGGATCGCCGCGTCGCAAACTTCCTCTACTCACTTCTTCAGAACATACGTAGCCAGTGTTTCGAGCACGGCCGGTTCCACCGACCCTTTCACTGTAGTCATGACACCGCCAAAGATCTCGCCAGTCACGCTACAGCGATGGCGTATCTTCGTCAGGTACTGCCCGCACTCGCGATTCCACACGATCAAGAAGGCTAGGTCCCAACTGGCCAGTTTCGGCGCCTTGATAACCTCGTACACGGGTTGAGGCGCGCTCATCTCCACGTCTCCATCACCATCTAGCGTGTAGCGAGTCCCCATGTTCAACACCGTCAAATTCACCGAGCTCACAGCAGCGAACGTTGACGAGTAGCCTTGGTCTTGCCCGGCGGTTAACAATAGCTCTTCGGGAAGAGGTGTAAAGTTAACTTTATCGCGATATCCAGATTGTTGCCGAAGTAGTAAATTTATTAATGAGCAAAATGAAAGCAGGACATCTGTTCCTACATGTACGAACTAGGAATTCCTAGTGCACTCTGAGACATGTGCCGCGCCATCCTAGCAATGCATAAACTGCCCCGTAATCGACACCACTGCATAAACACCTTCATAATTGCCATTACTGCATAATCCTTGGTGAATGAGTCGGTAGCTGTTGTTGCACGAAGCTGCTAGGCTTTTACTCGATTCGGCGACAGGCCCCAACTTGTAAGAAACTGTCGGCCAAGTTGGTCAGGTGTCTAGATTATTCTGAGCTTCGCTTCGAAATCTATCATCGCGCAGGGACAGCCAATGTCGTGGCTGATGCATTGTCACGCAACGAGACTGACACTCGAAAGTTGCCGATAACACGAGGTCTCGCGGTCTTATGTAGTGATTACACAATTGCCGCCACTAGCAGAAACCGAGCGCCGACACAAAGAGTGTTTCGGGGTCGCAAACAGCTTCAGCGCTCTTCGTGCTGCTTATGTACAGGACCCTGCTCTTAAAGATGATTGACAGCGTCATGTACAAGGGCGGTGTGACGGGGTCACACAGCACCTTGCGCTGAGGAAGTAGGCTTCCAAGAGTATACAAACTCTTAGTGAACGACAGTTCACGTGTCCCTGGTCTGAGGGGACGAAGTACTCAATAAAGGGTACGTTCAAGACTGATTGTATTTATAGGTAAGCTTAGCTTGGTTTCTAGTACAAACTATAAGTCACCCACCTATAGTAAAGCTATGTAGATATGCAATGATTGGCTCCAGAGCCTCTGGTACCATGTACCAGGTATTACAAGAGTGACAGGTCACTCTTCATGTAACTTGGGTACACTGGGGGTACGTACCCCGTTACAGGCGGACTACGAAGAAGTACGAACTGAATACGACCGGCCTGATACAGTTCAAGACGAGTAACCGCTTGTATACCAAGAGCGAAGGCCGTTTTACTGAAGGTGTATCACGATTTTCACGATGCCGCAATTACTGCACATCCAGGCGTGCTGCGAACGTTTCTTGCCAGTCGCCAATGGTACATCTGGCAACACCAATACGAAAACGTTCGGGAGTATGGGTACGGGTGATTTTCATGTGCGACCTCCAAAAGGCAGATTGTCAAATGCAGTCATATATACAACACAAGTGTAGTGTTTCTACACTAGAAAACTAGTGTTAATACTTTCGAGAGAAATAGTACTGTTACTTTCACGTTAAGTAATGGTAATATTTTAATGGTTTATTAGACTGCAATTAACTTTAACCTTTAACTTTCTGACTTATCCTCACTATTTTTTATAACGTCGTCCATACTAAAATAAAGAATAAGAGCTCAAGTCGACAACAAAAAGTAAAACGTTATTTTATCACATAACAAATACAAGCGAGCGGGGTCGCATCCTGTACAGAGCATAAGGGTGAGGTCAACGGCCATTTCCGTCGTGTGATGCAGTTTGATCTTCCCGAAACTATACATTTTGATTTGAAGCTTATTGGAACTAGACTTGCGACTTAGCAATCGAATTTACAGTTATAATGCTGACTGCATGAGCTAACCCTACGTATAAGTATCGCATGTAACACGCATCTACGTTCTCAATGCAGCTCGAACAAAACACCGTCCACCGGAGGAAATCTGGCTTTGCAACTTGACCCTCCAACAGTTGTTACATTACACTTCTGAGTACTACACTATATTCAGCAATAATTATTGCCTATTTGGCGAGTACCATTCTGAAACACGCATATATAAATGTAAATCGTAGTGCAACTTGCACGAGAAGTTTTTTGCTATTTGATAGTGATACCTTGAGCTTATATTTTGAACAGGCATTGAGAAATCATAGACGTACTGGATGATCGGGTTGGTGTGGTTCTGGGGAACACTACTGCTGGAGCGACAAAATACGTGTATCTACGGGCGTTCACCCGCTTCGTATGGTGGCAGTACGAAACTACTGACGACGATCGTCCTCAAGTGCTTTCACCAGCTCATTTTGTCAGATAGACTGATCAATAAAAACGCTGTTAGGGAGTAATTCAGCAGGGCGCACTTAGTTAATCCTCTAGATCTTGGAGTATTCACTACTCGAGATTGCACGCGCTATCTCACGACGATGGAACAACGTGGTATAACCGGCAAGTCTACTTTCGACAATGGACGCTCGGCTATGGATTTGGCTTGGATTTATATACTTGCAATCTTTCGACGTGGGGAATTCGTCGTTCAGTATGCACGACGATTTGCTTAGGAACGGTTATATTTGAACAACAAATTCCATAGAAGTATAAATGTCAAGTCTAAACTATGTACTCGCACATATCCATAGGTCATGTGGGTAAAGCTATAGACGAAATTTGGCCTATATATGATATAAACTTTTGATGAGGCCTTATATAACACGTTTTACTATTTAGTATAAAAAACATTTTGACTTTGTAATTAACTATTTTAGATTTCTCCGAGGCTTCAGTTTTTTATCCGTTGGACCTGAAACCCCTCGTTTTTTTATAAACCGCCAGTTTTTGGTTTCACATGCATAGCTAAAGACCTCGAACGTCCATTCACTCATTTTCTCTTTGGAGTCGCCTCACAACAACCTCAAATCAGCCCTACTATACTTCCAAGGCTGTATAACACTATGCAAGGTCCGTACCACGCAACGACAGACTGGTCTCCCAATGACGAAACTGAGATCAGCAGCTTGGCATCATCTTCACCCGATAATGATGATGCAACTACCCCTATACGAGTCGACGACTTCGTGCAGATAGGCACTTAATCGACAAGGCGCCAAGCAAAGTCGCAAATGAACGATCTAGGTGAAGGATTGTTCAGATATCGACACAACTATACGACGTCTTCGCAGCGCATAAGTGTTTATTCATGCGCATCTCATGTGAACTGCCCGTGCCTTGCGAAATATCTCATGCAAATGGGCAGTATATATTACAATCGACAAGCGTCCACTCCACTGAGGTTGCTACAGAAACTCGCACGGGTATCGACGGTGTGTTTCAGCCCGAAGTTGACAATCTTCTAGAAGGAGGCGTCGGGCCAGAAGGTCGTCTCGTCATTCTGCGAAATCGATATGCAGATCGATTAGAAATGCTAGACACGCTTCCATCTAGAGGAATGTTGAAATCCGGAAAGCAATTCCTCACTCGACAAGTTTGAGGTACCGTTTTTGTTTTATCACAATTTGAGTGACTCAAATCAATTTTAGATATTGAAATTTTTTGCAGCCGAAGCCATGACCCGTTACACTGATCTAGTAGCCTGGGCTGGTCCTCGTGAATGTACCTTGCGTGAGCAATTTTTTGGACACACCAATCCCTATGTCGAGTCCGACGATTTAACAGATTTCCGATCCAGAGGAGCTGGGTTTCGCCACGAACTCATCGTTCTACGATGTTTCTCGTATGGAGACAACGACGAGGCAATGGGAATCATCATTACTACTCGTACTCTACTGCGAAACGTTGTCTATACTGTGATTGGCCAAGACGATCACGGCGTTGTGGCGTCAGCTGATGGCACGTATAAGCTGCATCGAGGGGGATGGAGTGTGGTGAATTTTGGTACATACGCAGTCCATCTGAATCACCGTCAATTTCGGCAAACGTTTGTACCTTGGGCGTGTATGTTTGTGCGCTCGGAGTTGTACGAGACCTACACAGCGATTTTCACTACTATCCGGACTACAGTGAAAGAATTTTTCAACATTGATTTGAACATCGCATTTGGCTCGTTGGATCACTCCGATGCGATCGCAAACGCGTTTCTTACAGAATGGTCCGTTATAAAGTTGATGAACTGCTGGCCACACTTTGTTCGCAAAGCGAACGAAAATGAGCGCCGTCTACTAAATAACTCCGAACGTGGGAAAATGTACTGCTTCCGTCTCTTAATTGGATTCACAAAGCTCGTACAGCAAAACAGTTCACAGCGCTAGCCGCAGTTGTCACAGAGCAGCTGGTTCAGGACGATGAAGCTGCGTATTGTGAATGGTTGAAAGAAGAATATCTACACCTTTTTAACTTCAAAATGGCAAATTCGTAGTTCAATGTGGCAAAATGTAAGTTCAAAATGACAAATCGAACAAAGATGCGAAACGCAAAAAAATATATTCTTGCTTACACACCGACGGCCATGTCCTTCATCTGAATAGCTGCAGCGTGGAATTTCATCGTGTGCAAGGAGCACTTGTAGCGCAGTTCGGGGGTGATCGCCTCTTGCAAAAGGATGTCAACTGCTAACTTCAGATACTCTTCGCGATGTTCCTTGATGGTTCAGTGCGGCGGGACTTGAAGAATCGCCTGGAGGTTACGCGCCAGAAACCGTTTTGCCATGGACTTGAAGGTAGAGAAGCAGTTCTCGATCGGGTTCAACATGGGCGAATAAGGCCCTAAGCGCAACAACTTGGCGGCTTGGAACGGCTCTTCGCTGAAGACATCCTCGATGGCCGTATGGCAAGGTGCATTGTCGGCCACGAGCACAACGTCGTCAAGCGGCGTCGACTTACAGATGTGCGTCAACATGCGCTTAATATACTTATTGCACTCGACCGATGTAAACGATCCGAAGCGCCGCTCCGAGTACACCAAGCCGTCTTCCGAGATGCAGGCAATGACGTGAATGTTCGACCCTTTGCTGGCGGTGTTCTTGTCAACGGCGCGCTTGCCTTTCAAGCTGCGGCCACGGCGGTGTGAACATCACAGGTTGAAGTTAGTTTCGTCCACGTAGAATATTTTCTTTCCAGCAGCCTTATAGGAAAGGAGGTTGACAACTTAGTCACGGCGAAGGACCTTGTTGTGGGGAAGGTTGCGGTAGTTGTTGTCGCGGTGGGTCTGCTTCATTGCATACATTCGGCCGTCGATATGATGCTTGACTGTCTGTCGCGATACCTTCACGTTGAAGCGTACTTCGAGCGCGTCAACCATCTCATCGAGGGTTAAGTAGCAAATCTCGTCAAGCAAGCACAACAAATAGTCGACGTGGTGGTCAGTGATCTTGATGTTGCGTCTTCCACCGCGTGGCCGACAAGGTGTCACGCCCCACGTATCGTTTGCTTGCGCGGTGTTGACCCAGCGGTAGGCAGTCCGTAGCTTGACATCGTCCTTGACGGCGACATCTTGCCAATCTTGGCCGTCTCGGGCAGCGCGGAGGACGCGCTTCACAGTCGATTCGTCGTAGAGCATCGCGCGAATGAACAGAGGTTCTTGGGTTGCGAGTAAAAATGAAAAGTGAGCTGTAGGAAGGAAGCACGACGCGAGACGCGCGCTGCGTCGTGGTCCATTCATTTTGGCGCGTAGCGCTCCCGCCAATAAAATACTGTAGCCACGCACACCCCGGTAAAGCCGATTTGATTACATTTATACTGTTTTTGTAGGGTTGTCATTTTGAACTTACATTTTGCCACATTGAACTACGAATTTGCCATTTTGAAGTTGAAAAGGTGTAGCTGAGCGATGAATGACTTGGCTTACAACATGCAGTGGATCTCCAGGAATTATGCCCAATCAAAATCCGATTGAGGCCTACCACAAGAAGATCAAGGCTTCAAATGCTCTGTCTTTTCGGGCATCCACCGCTTATGTACCCAAAAAGTGAAAGACCAGTCTTTCGCGGAGTCCGTGACCTCCGCTTCCACTATCTTACATATAACATGTCCATGCTATGCCCTTTTGTACCGTTTAGATGTAAATTGCTGATGCACAACCATTTAGCCACTCAAAAAAATGTTCACAAATCGTTGGCGAGTTTTTACCATAAACCAAGTGGTGGTCTTTTACAGTCCTTGTCTATGCTTTTTAGCAAGATAACACCTTTATTTCCTAAAACAAAGAAAAAAATTGAGCTGCAATTTGTTCGATTTGACAGCGCCCCATTTTTAAATCGGTTTTGAGTGTGAACTTCTGACAACAATGAAATCAGAATCCGTTCTGGCAAAAAAAGAACTTACATAGGTATGTCCAGTGGCAGATTGCCCCCCCCAGACCCTCCCAACCTAAACGAAACTACTACCGAATTTTGATATAGGGTAGCCCCCTCATTTTGCAGCTTTTGGTAAGCCCCCACTTCCGGTTTTCTATAATAAGTGATGGGCGGTTTTGTTTGGTGCTGCCGCTTTAGGATAGCCCCCATGCTGGACTTTTGACCAATCCAAATTTTGTTTTTTAGTGGCTCACAAGCAAAAAGCATGCCAAGGGGGGTCGACGTCGTCGGGTGTGATCTAGCGGAAGGAGGACGAAGTTGTGTAGCGCATGAAGCATGCGGAAAACATGTGAAGGTGGGGGACGTGCTGCTGTTCCGCGAGGAGGTCGATGACCAAGGCGACAACAGGCTAGGATACTGCCTGAAGGCATACTTGATTCGTGACGGCTCACAGACCTGCCACGTCGGTTACCTGCCGCGCAGACTGCTTATCCAGCGTGCCGCATTTAACAGACAATTTGCTACTGTTGTTGAGGATCTAAGACACTCGGAGGCTCTGTATCTATCCTCTCGACGCCGAATCCAATAGAGGCGAAGGTGTTGCGAATAGACTGCTCAGTAATTCCTTCCCATGCTCTAACAATCCATGGGACGATGTCTTCTCTTTTTGGAACGGGTACATTTGCGTCTGGGGGAATTGCAGCCATTCTAAACGCTCTCTATTCTTGCGCCACTGCCGAATCTGAGATGGGTACACCTTGTGCATGCGAGCCGTGCCCTTGACTGTTCCTCTCTCGGCTTCTAGCAGAATTCTGAGCTTGTCCTTCACGGTTAAGCGGGTATCACGCCTTGGCATGCTTCTGAACTGGCTATTCTGCTAATGACAAAAGGAATGGAGCTCGTCTGTGTGTATCAGCCAATCAAATTGTACTCGGGCAAATTGAAGTGCCCTGTTAGGTAAGCCCCCTTTTGTAAAGTCAAAGAGGGGGCTACCCTTTACCAAAATTCGGTAATCACCCGCAGTATCCTCCTACAGATATGTATTAC